AGATTACAAGCCTACAAAAGTTTCATTGAAATCAATTACTTTCCTCTTTTCTAGATTAAGACATTATTCTATTACTTGGCATTTTTTTAAACTTCTTGCTCTATTTCATATATACTGAATCATTAAAAACCTTGTAAAATATATTTAAAATCCTAGATGACTGAAGAATCCATTGGAGATTCTAATTCGATAGATTGAAAACATTTTTCTATAATAGTGAATCTCTCACTAGTCACTGATATCGTAGTGATGTCTAGTAAGGAAAATGTTTAAACTCCTACGCATTAAACTACCTTAATGGTTTTCCTCTTTTAGTAGAACAAAGGTTGAATAGTTTTATTTTGATTTGCTGAAGGTTCGCTTTCAGAATGACCATCAATTTTAACTAGATTTTTTAAATTTAAACTTATAAAACTAGTACCGACAATTCTCTTTTTTTAATCAATAGGGGAAATCATTTTCCTATCATATATATTGGAGGTTTTAGAAAACTATGGTAGTCTACACATATTATTGTGGTTTACGTGTACGTTTCCTTTAATATGTGGGTCGTTTTTCACTGTATTTTTACACTCTGTACAGTTTTTGATATTCGCTTTTTCTCCGTGTCAATATCATTTACAAACCTATCGGTTGAATTTTAATGTCTCTCGTTTAAATAAACATAATGTTTATTTTAAAAAAACTAGAGTAATTTATAGTTTTATCTCGTGCTTCTGAAAATGTATAATCATGCACTAGGTAATACTGCAAATTTATAGTGACAACTCAAAATATTTTTGCTCTGTAGCAGATGTTGTTCCATTCACACCAAACTTCTTGCTCTATTTCATATATACTGAATCGTTAAAAACTTTGTTGAATATTATTTCAATCCTAGATGACTGAAGAATCCATTGGAGCTTCTAATTCGATAGATTGAAAACATTTTTCTATAATAGTGAATCTCTCACTAGTCACTGATATCGTAGTGATGTCTAGTAAGGAAAATGTTTAAACTCCTACGCATTAAACTACCTTAATGGTTTTCCTCTTTTAGTAGAACAAAGGTTGAATAGTTTTATTTTGATTTGCTGAAGTTTCGCTTTCAGAATGACCATAAATTTTAACTAGATTTTTTAAATTTAAACTTATAAAACTAGAATCGACAATTCTCTTTTTGTAATCAATAGGGGAAATCATTATCCTATCATATATATTGGAGGTTTTAGAAAACTATGGTAGTCTACACATATTATTGTGGTTTACGTGTACGTTTCCTTTAATATGTGGGTCGTTTTTCACTGTATTTTTACACTCTGTACAGTTTTTGATATTCGCTTTTTCTCCGTGTCAATATCATTTACAAACCTATCGGGTGAATTTTAATGTCTCTCGTTTAAATAAACATATTGTTTATATTAAAAAAACTAGCGTAATTTATAGTTTTATCTCGTGCTTCTGAAAATGTATAATCATGCACTAGGTAATACTGCAAATTTATAGTGACAACTCAAAATATTTTTGCTCTGTAGCAGATGTTGTTCCATTCACACCAAACTTCTTGCTCTATTTCATATATTGATATTCGCTTTTTCTCCGTGTCAATATCATTTACAAACCTATCGGTTGAATTTTAATGTCTCTCGTTTAAATAAACATAATGTTTATTTTAAAAAAACTAGAGTAATTTATAGTTTTATCTCGTGCTTCTGAAAATGTATAATCATGCACTAGGTAATACTGCAAATTTATAGTGACAACTCAAAATATTTTTGCTCTGTAGCAGATGTTGTTCCATTCACACCAAACTTCTTGCTCTATTTCATATATACTGAATCGTTAAAAACCTTGTTAAATATTATTTCAATCCTCAATGACTGAAGAATCCATTGAAACGTCTTATTCGATATATTGAAAACATATTACTATATTAGTGAATCTGACACTAGTCAGCGATATCGTAGTGATGTCTAGTAAGGAAAATGTTTAAAATCCTATGCTTTAAACAACCTTAATGGTTTTTCTCTTTTAGTAGAGCAATGGTTGAATAGTTTTATGTTGTTTTGCTGAAGGTTCGCTTTCAGAATGACCATGAATTTTAACTAGATTTTTAAAATTTAAATTTATAAAACTATTATCGACAATTCTCTTTTTATTGTTAATAGGGGTTATCATTTTTCTATCTTAATTTTTTTAGGTTTTTAGTGAACTACGGTAGTCCACACATATTATTGTGGTCTGCTTTCCTATTATAAGTATTGAAGGTTTTTGGAAAGCTACTATAGTAAACACATATTTATGATGTTTTCATGTACGTTTTCTTTATTATGTGTGTCGTTTTTCACAGTTTTTTAAACTTCGTGTGGTATTTGATATTCGCTAGTTTTCTGTGTCAATGTCATTTACAGACCTATCGGTTAAGTTTTAATGTCTCTGTTATTAATAATCGTACTGGTTATTTTATATTACTTGAGTAATTTATAGTTCTATCTCGTGCTTCTGAAAATGTATAATTATGCACAAATTAATGCTGCAAATTTATAGTACCAACTCAAAATATTTTTGTGCTGGAGGAGATGTTGTTCCAAATAGCGTTACAAACGTTTTATTGACAGAAATTTTTTTATTAGCTAACTTTTTTTAGAAATACTATTTTTTTTTAATTAGTCGTACCTTTTTTTTATTCAGTTGCATGACATTTTTGATTATTTAGGTTCGATTTAAATTTTATTTTTCTTAATTATTATTTAAACCTGTTGATGAATACTTTAAGGAATTAATATCATCAAAATATTGAACTTTGATATCAAGTATAGTGTTGTGATATAAGTTGAGAATTTTCTCATTTATTTGAATCTATATTCTGTCTCTTAGTTCATATTATTTTTTTATTGTGTACAGTGATCCACAATTATTATTTCGATAATTAAAATAAAATACACCAACGTAATTATAACGTCTTGATAAGTACGAAACAAAACTTAGTACCCAGAAATACAATATTTATAAACTTTGCAATGTTGTAATGGAATTACACTAGTTATGAAGGAAAATGTAGTTGAAATTTAAATAAATAGGTATACACAATATGATTACGATAAAATATAGGATGAGAGCGGGAAAATTATTACATCATATACGAGATATAATGGTTGTTAGACCAAATAAGGCGAATTTGTTATTATTTTTATTTTTTTTGAATTTTATTTTGTATTTATATTGTTTAAAAAAAAAAATAAATGTAAATATTTTGGAAATTGTTATTATTTTTTTAGAATCCATTTTATTACGATTATTTGTAGATAACCATTTAGAATTATTATTGTTTTTATAAATAAAAATTTTCTTGTTTATTTGATTTGAACTATGATATAATCTAATTTTGTTTTTTCAAAATAAAATATTAAGTTTGATATATATCATTATACTTATTTATGGAATGAATAATGTTGATAATAGTAGCTGCCAATAAGTTTATATTTATTAATTAGTACTAAGGTAATGAAAATGTATGGTATCTTATAACTACTATATCAAATTGTCTTTGAATTTAAAAAGGAGAAGATATCGTAAAATACATTGGTATTGTCATCTACTGTATGTAATGCAAAAATGTTTGCTTTAAGCAATTGTTAAATTTTACATGTTATTTTTTATAAATTATAAAATATATAATAATTAAATATATTTTAATTTGAATTAATCGTTGTACATTTTTTTAATAATGAACATTAATATTCATAAGTTGAGTACAATCTAATGAATACTCCTATAAGTTAAACCCATCAATACAGTGATAACAGTTATATGTGATTTCACTCTTTCTTGTTTACGCTTTATTAATTTATTTATCCGTCTTCATTGTACATACTTTAAATAGTTACAATTGATTTACTTCGGCCTTCCTGTGCCTGTATTTTCATTGTGATTCGTGTTGCTGTTTATCCATTCCTTCAGGATGAACTTCGATATACATTCACACGCGTGAACATATATTATCTCGTCCACCGCTGCCGATCAGCTGATCGTTCACGTCCACGGCCCGACCATATGCTTTTCGCTCGTATCTACCTATGACGTCACAACTATGAGTTCTGTACCTGCCATATCGCAATTTTTCACTATCTGCCTTCTGTGGCTTCGGTCACTTCCTTCTATTTTATAAGAGACTTCTATTATCCTTCTGCTGTACTTCGATGCTGGCAGCTCCTTCTTGTTATAAGGGGCTAAAAAACATCAATGTTTAATCCTTTCATATAAGGAGTCCTGTTCAGCCTAAAACAAGTAGATCAGACTCTAAAACTCAAAAAGTTCACTCTGGCCCAGTGTAAGGCCTTGCATACATCCCAAATAAAAATTTCGGCGATCTACAAATGACTTTGAACTCTTTAAACGATCAGATCCATTGACCTTAAGACTCAAAATTCAAATCTGCGTACTGAATAATCTGCTCTCCTGGATAGATTCTTCACTCTCGAGACTATTATCTCGCCTTCATTAATTTCTGTTCCAGCACCTACTCCAGTAGCCGTCACACAGCTAATGCATAAACCAGTGGCGGAACTACAATCTTTAAGGCCCGTGGGTAAAATTTTTATTGGCCCTAATGAATAGTTATATAGTACTTATATTGGAACATTTTTTTTTTTTACATAATAAATTTTTAACTTGTAATATGCGAAAAAAGGATATTAATTTATTAAGTAAACAATAAATCAATAAATATAATTTACAAATTAAAATAAAAATAATTTTTTTCTGCTACGATCTTGTACAAATGACTTTATCAATGCTGACATGTTCAACTCTTTGGCGCGTTCATTTTCATTTGATATCATTGCGAGACTACTCAAACGTGTTTGAGATATAGAATTGTTAACTTGTAATATGCGAAAAAAGGATATTAATTTATTAAGTAAACAATAAGTCAATAAATATAATATAATTTACAAATTAAAATAAAAATAATTTTTTTCTGCTACGATCTTGTTCAAATGACCTTATCAATGCTGATATGTTCAACTTTTGGCGCGTTCATATTCAATTGATATCATTGCGAGACTACTCAAACGTGTTTGAGACATAGTATTTCTATGGTAGCTTTTAATTAATTTGAGCTTTGATAATGACCTTTCTGTACTGTCTACTGTTACTGGAATAATGTAAAAAATAAATAAAATGTTGTTAATAGGTCTGGAAAACTAGTAATTAGATTATAATTCTCAATAACCAATAATTTAGTCATATCAAAAACACTATTACAGGATTCAAGCTCAGAAGAAAACAGAATATTAAATGATTCAATTTGCCTTGCTAGCTCAGCTGGATTAAAATCTTTAAATTCATCCGCCAACTTTTTTGCACCAATAATAATGTCGTCATCAGATATTACTCCACGTCGTAAAATACAGCTGAATAAATCATTTATTTCATTAAGACCAACATATCGTGTTCGCAGTTGTGTAACAACAGTATCAATACACCTATATAACACCTGTGTTTTAAAATATTGACATCCTTGTGAATGTCGTTGATCTTGACAAAGCTCATCATAAAAACGTTTTACTTTTATTGTTCGTTTATTTGAAAATTTAGGTGTCACATTCCATTTTAATGCTTTATCGTTAACTTCTTCAATTAAAATATCAATATTCATACGAATTGCTTCTATAATTTGCAATGTACTTTTTATCAAATCTGCAGCATTTCCAATATCAGCTCCAGGAGACTGCAATATTTTTGATGCAATAATTTTTTTTGATAATATTTTATACATCAATAATATCAAAATAACTGTTTCATAACTCTCAAAATATGTTTTAAGTGTGGTAGCGTAATTTTGTTCATATTTGTTTCAGCCAGTTAATATAATGTTATTTAGTACCTTCATTATATCTGGGTACATATGATTCAGTGATACTAAACAATCGATTCTAGAAGACCATCGAGTAGGACACAATCTCTTAAGAGATCTGGTAATTTTACAACTTTCTTTTTTTAATTTTGCCCATCGAAGTATACTATTACCAAAAAATGTATAAAGAGATTCTAGCATGCCACAAAATTTCCGAATTTTCTTAATATCTTTAACACAGTCATTTACTATTAAATTTAAATTATGCGATGCACAATGGACGTATTTGGCTTTTTTCTGTC